CCATGGCTTCTCCCTGGACCAACTCCACCATGAACATTCCACTTCTACCCTCTCTCGTCAGAACAGAGTTGGAGATCATACAGATGCAGAAATGAGAAGCAAAAGAATAAAGAACACATTTTCCAGCCAGTGAGATACTCAGCAGGTAAAGGCTCTTGCTGCCAATCCTGACAACCAGAATGTGATCTCCAGGATCAACACAGTTGATGAAGAGAACCAACTCTTAACAAACTGTCCTGTGACATGACTCCCCACCACATAATTAGAATATTTAAAGAAAAGATTTCGCCAGCCTCTGGCCAAGTGGAGGTCGTAACCTCCAGATGTCTTCCTCAATCGGGCTTCAACAACACTATAGTGTCTACCTGGAGTTCTACTCAGAAGCTCCTTGAGTAGGCCAGCTCTGAGAAGCAACCAGACAAAGCTCAGTGAGACTCCAAAACCTATCTTAATAAGAGGCTGTCAGGAGACTTCCTGAACAGACTCAATCCCAGTACCCCAGCCAGGGAGACCAACTCTGCTCTGAGAAGTAATCTCAAAATGAACAATTAAAGGAGAAAACATTTGTTTGCAAATTCTCCTTCAAAGACACTCTGTAGGGCCCAGGTGGGGTCTGTGTCACCGCTACGCACTCTCGGAGATGTCTGGAGGGGATAGTGCAGTGACAACAGTGGAGGGGTCCCAGGCCAGAAGGGAATGAACCAGTTTTGAGGATCTGTCTAAGAAGAGCAAGCAAGCAACAAGGAAGGGGATGAAAGCAGGAGGTACTGGAGCGAAGGGTCTGATCCAGGGCTCTTCTGTGTGAGAGCAGAACTCAAATCTTGGCCATAACTCTTTGGTATGAATAAGCTCAGAACAAGGCTGTTTGTGTCTAAAGTAATCTAGCAGAGATAGCCAAAAGGGGGGTGTGTGTGTATGTGTGTGTGTATGTGTGTGTGTATGTGTGTAAAAATGACTAGAACAGTCCATGCTTCTTGCTGGGACAGGGGAAGGGCAGAGTGAGGGTGGAGGTGGAATGGGAGAGAGCAGGGCAATGGTGTTCTCAGATTCCACAAATGCCAGTGACTCGGAAGACCCTGCAGGAAGTTCCACTCCCTATAAGCAGATTATCCACACTGGTGTATAACAGCAGGGCCTACCTTCTTTCTCTTGCCTAATATATGGGAAGAAAGGAAAACCACAAACACACTCAATTTTGGAAGATGGGACAAGAATAGGGAGGCAGGAGAATGGGCAAACCAGATCAAACAGCAGTCACTGGGCTGGCCCCTGGAAAGGGACAACATACCAGATCTAAGAAGCGGCTTGCCTCAACCCTGATTCTTCAAGCTCTTCCTTTCCCTCCATACACTCTTCTCCAAGTAACCCTGCCCCTTTGCCCCTTCCGTCCACTCAACATCAGGATTCTCTCCTCTTCAGGGAACAGAGCTGGGCCCAGATCCAAACTTAATTTGTTCAATGCACAGAGACACCAGTGTGTAACGAAGGAAGCATGGCTGCCAGCAGACTGTACCCATTTATACCCTCTTTCCTGTGCATGTGAGGAAGACAACCCACTTTCACTGAACAACTAAGAGTGTGCAAACAGCCTTGAAAAGAAACTCGGTCACCAGCTAAAAATACTCCTTTGTATTTCCTCAAACCTTCAGGCAAGAGTGTCCTTATCTCTCTTGTAGTCCTTGAGAAGGACATTATAAATCTGGGTGTATACCATATACCTGCAATCCCAGCACTCAGGAAGTGATCTGCTATATAGAAAATGTGAAGCCAGCCTGGGCTACATGACACCCTGTCTCAAACAAACAGACAAACAAACAAAAAGCTGCATTCTATAGAGGAAATGGAAAAAAAAAAAAAAAAGGACAGAGAAGAATAACATACTAAGCAGATGAAAAGGGGAAAAGGGGAAAAGCCCTGCTCCGGGACTCCAGGTTCTGTGCAGGGAGGGGGAAGAAAAGACGATACAGGCTTTGCAAAGCACACATGCACAGAAACAGCTGCTGCTCAGAGACTAGCACAAGCACAGGCAGGCCTTCAAGGGGTGGGAATGCTTTGTCTGGTCACCACTGTGGGCAGGCTGGCTTGAGTGCGAGCACAGTATCAGAGATTCTGGGTCTGAACTCTGCCATAACTGGGAGAAGAAATTTTTCCCTTAAAGGGTCAGTTTCCTTGAGGTGACATCTCCAATATGGCTGTAGAAAGCAGAAGGCTGCGCTGTGGCTCAGTGGTAGACTTCTTGCCTAGAACGTGAAAAGGTCCTGGGTTTGAAGTAGAGAGAATATATAGAGCAATACCAGGAAAGCCAGGTATCCTGAGCACTCCTGAAATTCTAACACTAGTAGGCTAAGCCAGGAGAAGCACTGAACCTTTGTATCCAGTATGGGCTGCAGAATGAGTCTGAGGGTCAGCCTAGGTGACACAGTGAATCTCTGTCTCTATTAACTAAAAACTGGAACATAGACTTGATAGAGTACTTGCCTTGTATAAAGCCTTGAGTTTAAACCCAAGCACCACAGAAACCAACTGTGAGAGCACACACCTGTAACCCCAGCTCCTGGAAGGTAAAAGCAGAAGGAGCAGGAGTTCAAGATCATCCTTGGCCACATAGAAAGTTCAATACCAGTCTGGGCAATATAAAACCTTGCCAAAAATGGGGGAGGGGGAGAAAAGAAAAGAAAGAAGAAAGGAAGAGAAGGGAAGATCTCAGGAGAGCAGAATGAATTTTGTCACTGCTATAACTTACAGCTGTCATAATTATATTAGTTTACTATTGCTTTTTTATATATAAATTTAGTTCTAAGAGAAAGAAAACAAACCAGCACATAAAAACCACCAAACAGATGGGTGGTGGTGGCACATGCCTTTAATCCCAACACTCAGGAGGCAGAGGCAGGTGGATTACTGTGAGGCCAGCCTGATCTCAAAGTAAGTCCGGACAGCCAAGGCTACGCAGAAAAACCCTGTCTCAAAAAACCAAAAAACAAACAAACAAAACAAAACAAAAACACCAAAGAATCCTGGACATCACTGAGGATTTCAGACAGCAAACCTCTAGAGAGAGAAAGCCAGTGATAATTCAGATCCTGAATGTCCTTGGAAGGTCCACAGATTGAAGATGTGGTCACTAGCTGCTGGACTATAGAGAGGTGTAGGGCCTGTGAGGGATGGGGCTACTTGAAAGGAGTTAGGTTATCATAGGTGCAGCTTTAAAGAGAATTCTTTTTCTTTCTTTCTTTCTTTCTTTCTTTCTTTCTTTCTTTCTTTCTTTCTTTCTTTCTTTCTCTCTTTCTCTTTTCTTCCCTCCCTCCCTCCCTCCCTCCCTCCCTCCCTCCCTCCCTTCCTTCCTTCTTTCCTGTCTTTCTTTCTCCCTACTTTCTGGTGACCACAATGTGATCTATCTCATCTGTCAAACGCTACAGCAGTGATGTACTCCAATGCAGCTCCAAGAAGCAACAAAAACTAGCCACTGACTAAAATCTTCTAAACCACAGGCCAATAAATAAATCTCATCTTTATAAGCTGCTAACTTCTGGTATTTTGTTACAGTGATGACTAACACAGCTACACACCCTAAACTACACACAGGGCTCCTTCTCAAACTCAGGTCAGTCAGGGAAAACAAGACCCACCATCTTCCTAATTACAATTCCCTGTGAAGGAGGCTGGGGTCTGTTGCCTACATGAAGCCCACCTGATGTCTATTATTCCAGAAAAGGCTTTTTGAAGAAGCTATGGGGTTTCAGATGGTCTTCCCCTTAATTAAAGAGGGTAGGAAATAGGCTTTGGGCTTAAAAATCTAATAAACAGGATAAACAGACAGTGGACAGGTATGGTTTATGTAATGCAAAAAGTCTTGTGGTCATCTGCAGCAGCCAATAAGAGCATCTCCAACTCAGAGCAGGCATAGAGCCTGGTCTTTCCCTTTTCCACCCTTTCACTTTCTGCCTCTCTGTAGCTAAAAGTGTCGTGTATGCTAGCTACCATACACAAAGATGCCCGGAGTGATAGGACAAGCCAGAGGGACAGCATCACTGTGGTGGTCTGAAAAAGAGTGGCCCCCTAGGCTCATATATTTGGATGCTTAGTCACCAGGGAGTAGCACTATTTCAGAAGGATTGGCAGGTATGGCTTTGTTGGAGGAAGTGTGTCCAAGCAGATGGGCTTTGGGGTTTCAAAAGGTTCACACCAGATCAGAATGTCTCTGTGTCTCTCTGCCTGTGGATTAGAATGTAGCTCTCAACTACTTCTCCAGTGCCATGCCATCATGCTCCCACCACGATGAAAATGGACTAACCCTCTGAAACTGTAAGCAAGACCCTAATTAAATGCTTTATTTTGTAAGTGTTGCCTTAGTCATGGTATTTCTTCACAGCAACAGAACAGTGACTACTGAAGCTGGTATCAGAAACTGGGTTGTGGTGGCTAAGGAAAACTCCATTTATGCAAGGCACCCATCCTAAATTCTTAAAAAAATAAGCTCCTAGCAACCCTGACTCCTTGTCTCCTCCCCAAAATTGTAAAACTGCTAAGAGATAATTAACCAGTTGCTCCGGCTTTTGTAAACCCACTTATTTCATGTACCAGGGAACGAGACAACTCCTTTATGGCTGTATATAAAGGGAGAGGACAGCTTCTCAGAGCTGAGGAAAGTAAAAGCAGTTTATCACCCAGCCACACATTCCACACAAATGAGATAACTGTGGTGCCCATTCCTTTAGCCTCTTCTGTCCAACACACCTTCTGTTTGGCTTCGAGCAGTAACTAACAAGCTCGTCTAATTATAATATGAATCCAGTCTGTGGTCTTTTCCCAGTGGATTTGAACTCCAAAAGAGGGTATTGCTGTCACAGTCCTGACCATGCTGTTTGTTGGAGGAATATGGAAGACTTTGGGACTTTGTACTAGAAAAGTGATTGGCTACTTTAAATAGGGCTTAGTGGACCATCCTAGTAGGAGCTTAAGAGACAGTTGAGCCCAGCTCAAGAAATTTCAGATAGTTCTTGCTTAGGCAGCACACATACTAAAATTGGAACAATACAGAAAGGATTAGCAAGGCCCCTCTGTAAGGATGACATGCATATTCGTGAAGCATTCCATAACTTTAAATTGTAATAAATAAATAAATAAAGGTGGCAGCATCCACATCTTAACTAAAACAGAAATGAGTAACTGCTGAAGAAAAGACATAGCAATAGAATCATGCAAAAAAAAAAAAAAAAAAGTGGCTGTTTTTTGCCCTTGTCATAAAAATCTGCCTGAGGCTTAGTTGAAGACTTTTATATTTAAAAGCATTGGCAGAGGATATCTGTAATCCCAGCACTCTGGGAGGCAGAGGCAGGTGGATCTCTGCCTACAGAGTCCAGGACAGCCTGCATAGAGAAACTCTGTTTAAAAAAAAAAAAAGACAGTCTAGAATTGACTGTACCATGTAGCTATTAATAAGTCTTTTTTTTTTGTTTGTTTGTTTTTGTTTTTGTTTTGTTTTTTTTAATTTTACTTTCCAGGGGTTACAATTAAGAGCTTGCCATGGGTCTCAGAGACTGATAGACTATGGGATATGTCTATAAGCCTGTGGAGGCCAGGGAGTGGAATGTGGTGGTTTGAATAAGAGTGGCCCCCACAGTCTCACATATTTAAATGTTTGGTCATTAGGGAGTAGCACTACTTGAGAGGAATTAGGAGGTGTGGCCTTGTTAGAGAAGTGTACCACTTAGGGTGGGCTTTGAAAGAGTGTCTCGTGTGTCTCTGCCTCTGGATCAGGATGTAGCTCTCAGCTACTACTCCAGTGCCATGCGTGCTGCCCTGCTCCTACCGTGACGATGCTAGATTAACCCTCTGAAACTGTAAGCAAACCTCCAAGTAAATGCTTTCTTCTTTATAAGTATCGCCTTGGTCATGGCATCTCTTTACAACTTTAAAACGGTGATGAAGACAATCACCATCACCTGAAGACCAGTAAGAAGAGTTCATCACTTGGGCTTTCCCCCTGCCTCAGATAAATTGCCCATTTAAGCTTGCTATTACCTACAAAGGAAATCCAGATAATTATGCTCATTGCTGAGCAATAACTCTAAAATAAAAGTCAGTAACATTTGGTTTATAAGCAAACAGCAACCACCACTGCAACCATGCATGTCTTAGCCAGGTATACACTGAGCACCACAGCAAAGTAAACAGTCCTAGAGTTCCAATTACTTCCTTCCTGACAAGAAATGTGTAATAGCTGAGTGCTTTAAATTGATCAGGGAAACATAGACAGGTTTGGATGTCAGAAAACCTTGAGGTGAAAATGAGATGAAAAAAGAAATCAAGGATATTGACTTGGTAGATCAAACAAACCCTCTATACTTCATTATTTGCAAACTAATTAGACATGACCCTTGGAGAAGAGCACAATTCCATCCTGAGTTCCTGCTTCAGAGAAGGCATATCGGGAGCCAGTGGAAGACACAGAGAAGACAAGGACAAGAACAACAGGCAAACAAGTAAGAAGCAGGACCCTGTGCAGATGTGAAACTGTTAGAAACCTCTGAAAGAGAAAGGCCGGTCAAAAGAGGACAGAACTGAACATCCGTGTCAGATACTGCCTTTGTGATCAATAAAGCAAGCAAGTGAGGAAAAAATATATACATGTAAAATAGACAGCTTTCTTTACTTAAAGAATATTACCTTTTGTAAGAACAATAGGTAATTATAATGTGTCCACATTAATGAATTGGAAATAGCAAACATAGATAATTCAGTAAGTATTTATAGAATACTTCTTAAGTGCTTGGCATAACAGCAGAAGAATTTTTTAAAGATTTATTTATTTTATTTTATTATATATACAATGTTCTGCCTGCGTGTACACCTGAACATGAGAGTCCACTACAGATGTGGTTGCTGGGAATTACACTCAGGACCTCTGGAAGAGCAAGCAGTGCTCTTACCCTCTGAGCCATCTCTCCAGCCCCAGAAGAATTTTTTAAATCTATACTGCCTGTCAGTGGTAGTGCATGCCTTTGATCCCAGCACTCAGCAGACAGAGGCAGGCAGATCTTTGTGAGTTCAAGGCCAGCTTGATATACCGGGAAAGTTCTAGGACAGCCAGATCTACACAGAGAAAGCGTCTCTAGAAAAATAAAAAATGTCAAACAAAACTAAAGACAAACAAACAAAAAAATTTGTTTGGCACATATTATCCTATAACTGCATTTACTCTAGGTACAAGAATATATATGAACTATGGATGTGCTTACATAGTGTGTTGGGAGATTAAACTTTGAATTTGCTATTTCTCTTAAATGCTTTAAGTCACATTTTCACCACTGAAACTGTAGGTACAGAAAACCATCACCACCATCTACTTCAGAACATTTCATCATACAAACACACACACACAAAAGCAAAGAAAAATAGACACCGCATTCTCTGTTTCCAAACCCTGGAAATCACAACTCTTGTGATTTCTGCCCATCCTACTATTACACAGATGTCATCCAGCTTGTGGCCTTTAGTACCTGGTCTCTGTGACAGCAGTATTCTTAAGCTTCACCCTGGCTGCAGCAAGTGTCAATGTTCCATTCTTTCTTACAGCTGGATAATAATCCACCCATTGGGTGATGAGAATTCAGGTTGATTTCATTTGAGGGCTATTATGCATAATAATGCTGTGAGTATTCATATGTATAGATACATACACATGTATACATTACATTTTTAATGTCTACTTTTTTAGTGCTGGAACACTGAATTCAAGTCTCATTCATGCTAAGTACATGCTTTACCTCTCAGCTACAACCCTAGTTTTTAAATATATACCTTTGTCATCCAGGTTAGTGTCCCTAATTATGTTTTGGTTGAGTACCTGAACCCATTAGATTGACGCTACGATTCAACTACCAACTATACTACTACAGTTTGGATCTAGAATGGTCCATGCCTCCATCAGATTGGCCTGCAGGGAAGTCTGGGGCATTTTCTCCATTGATAATTGATGTGAGAAGGCCCAGCCAACTGTGAATAGTACCAGCCCCAGCCGGGTTGTTTAACAAAACAAACTGGAAAAACTCCCCAAACCAACCAAACAAAACCACAGAAGGAGCAAGCCAGTATACAACACAACTCCACAGCTTCTGCTTTAGCTCCTACCTAGGGTTCCTGCCTTGATTAGCTGGAACAGTAAGAGTAAAAGTAATTTGCTTTTGGTCATGGTTTTTAATCACAGTAATAGAAACTTAATTAATACAGTGTTGAATGATTAGTCCAGAGTCTATACCATTAGTAAATAGTAGCACGTGCCTATAATCCGGCACTCAGGAAGTAGAAGGGTAATGATCAGGGGCTCCAGGGGCTTCCTCAGCTACATAAAAGATGTAAAGACTGCCTAGGCTACATGAGACACTGTCTCAAAAAAAAGTTTCTAGAATGAAGACTAGGTGAAAGAAACAAAGTGCAGGTAAGCTTACATGCAGAAATAGAAACAGACTACATCTAAGACCAACAAGCTTGGCAAACAGAAGAAAATACACCTAGAAGAAGAAAAAATAAAAGAATACATGTGTGTTCTTCAGTCTCCAATGACAATGACAATGACAAGAGGTGCACATGTTTGCTAGGAATCACACAGACACCTGTGGTGTGCTGCTCCTGAGGCGGGACTGTCAACTTCAGAAGCTGACCCGTGGTAATCACTGCTACTCTGTCAAGGGCAACAGAAAGTGAAAAGAGTAACTCCACATCAAGGCCAAAAATGAAACAGGGCCAGTCAGGACTCTCTAGAGGAAGAGAACTGAGAGACTGAATATATATGGAACGGCTATTTATCAGGGTGGCTTACAGGATGTGGTCCAAGTAGTAGTCCAACAATGGCTGTCTACCAGTGGAAAGTCCACCAATCTGTTAGTTGTTCAATCTAAGAGGCTGGACATCTCAGCTCATCTTCAATATATGCCAGAAGCCCGAGGAAGTTTCCTTTAATGTCTGTCAGGGAAGGAATGAACCTGCCAACAAAAGTGAGGGCAAGCAGACAAAGAGAAAGCGCTTCCTTATGTCTTTTTTTATTTCATTTTTATTTTATGTGCATTAGTGTGTGCATCAGATCCTTTGGAACTGGGGTTACAGACAGTTGTGAGCTGCCATGTGGGTGCTGGGAATTGAACCTGGGTCCTTTGGAAGAGCAGGCAGTACTCTTAACCACTGAGCCATCTCTCCAGCCCTCCTTATGTCTTTTATATAGGCTGCTAGAAGGTGTGGCCCAGATTAAAAGTGGATCTTCCCACTTCAAATTATTTAATTAAGAAAAAATTCCTCACTGCTGTACCCAGTCACTTGGGTTTCAGTTAATTTCAGATAGAATCACATTAACAACTAAGAATAGACATTACATCCAGGAGAATGGGTCCCTTTAAGAACTGCACCCTCAGTGGCATGGGTGAGGAAGAGATGCTCTCTCCCAACCCCTTGCCCCTCCCACTTATGGCAGGTGGGAGAGCTGGCCCTAGTGGTGTGGTGCAGGTTAGCCAGCCTGAGTGCATAAGAACGGAGGAACTGGCCTTGGCCTTCCTTACCCACTGCCGGGGGTGAACTAGCCAGGGCAGTGCTGGAGAACTCACCCTGGTGGTGTGGGTGTAAGAGAGCTGGTGAGCTGATCAATGCAGCTACCACCCAGGCCCAGACCCAGGGATCTGAGTTGGCCCACCCCAACATCTACCCCATCTGAACTGCCTGATCGCATGAAGAAGCTGGACCTACAGATCCAAAGCTGCAGGATTTGCAAGACACAGGGCAACAACAGATATCAGAGAACATTCCCAATGAGGATCCAGTATCGATAGAGTAACGAAGGCAGAAGCCTTGAACCAGGCCAATGACTCACTGCAATGGACAGGTAACAAAGGGTGGACAAACAGGTATACTGTGGAACTCACTGTGACACATACAGCTTCCACGAGATTTTTTTTCTTTTGTGAGGTGGTTGCAAGGGCAGAGGGTGAGTATGAAGGGACAGGAAGATGAGCAGGATTGGAGTGCATGAATCAATAAAAAGTTAAAACAAAACAAAACCAAAAAACTGTACCCTGAGATTCCTGGACTAGTCCAGGGAGAAGCAACACCTAAGT